TACATTATTCTAATTTATAATGTAAATTATTTATTATTTTTTACTATTGTATAATTGAAAAGTATATTTATATTTAAGTTAGAGAATAAATAGAAGAATAACTTATTTCAAAACATTTGAAGAAGATTCGTATTCACTAAATAAAAGACATATATAACTCAGTCATTTTCTATTTTCCATTCTTTTAGTTGCTTAATTGTTTGCAAATAGCATTGTTTCTAAGATTCATAAAATGAAATTAAAATGAATTCGTTTCTAAATGAAAAAAGATTTTTACTAAATTTCTTTGAGGAAATGGAAAATTTATACCTTAGATAGGAGAAGAAAGTATAGTGTAAACTTATTATAAGTGGCATATAAAGTTTATATTTGTAAATTATACAAATTGATCGTTTCCATCAAATTTTTCTTTAAAATCCATTTATTTTCTTGTTTTGTCCTTTAACCTTTCTAAAATAATATTTAAAGAATACTGCTATGGCAAAGATCAAGTTTTCGTAGAACTTGGAAAAAATCCGCAAAGCATGTTCATTTTTTTTTTATCAGGAAAGTTGCAGGTGGTATATGACAACAATCATGAATCTTGCCTTCGGTGAATGTCCATCAGGTGTTCTCGCAGGTGTATTTATTCATTTTAACTTTAATGAAGCGCCCTTTTACTTTTTTTTTCTTTTCGGGTGTCTTTTTTATTTACATTGAGTGATAGTAGTAACACGGGGAATAGAGGCAACGAATATAAGATATCACAAATCAAAGTCAAAAAAGAAGATATATTATTGCTGTCAATGTACCTACATTAAATAATATATATATATATATATATACTTCATACTTCGTGACAAAAAAAGTGAAATTTTCGTGACGAACCCAGAATCTTAAAATATAACGCATCTTTGTAATTACACCTTAAAAAAAAATTCACATTTTATTTTTATGGGGTCAATAAGGTCTAAAAGTTTATTTTTGGATCTGCCTTTTTTGTGAATTAAGTATTTGATTGCCTGTATTAATACAGACTATGATGGTAGTCTCCTCATATTTTATAATTTTTCTTATACTTTTATATTTTTCAAAATTTTTAATACCTTCTTTTCATACGTAGTAAAAATTTTTAAATTTAGTTTAAAAATGAGTATTAAATTAATCTTTATCTGAGAATCAAAAATCGATCACTTGTTTTATTAATTTTGGAGCTTATTGCCGCTTTATAGCATTACATTAATCAAAGAATGCATTTTACTGTTCTCTACTATTACTCAGTGTATAAATAGTTTTTTCCAGTGAGAAAATATTTGAGCCTATCATCACCTCCCTAACAGGGGTGTTTCAAATCGTATCAGACATTTTTGTCAAAAGCTTATAATAATGGGTTATCTGAGAGTATCCATTTTTGTAATTGTAAAAGCTTTCTCTTTTGATTTTTTTAAATGTGCATTGAGATATCTTAAAATTATGCTGTACAGGAATTGAGATAATTGAGAAATAATTAAATATGAAAATGCCATTTATTTTATAATCTATAAACCTGGCATTCACAATATATAATGTCCCCCAAAATTAGAAATTGTTCCCTTGACCTTTTTTTTAAACGTTGTTTCATTATTTATTTCATATATGAAGGAAATGAAGTTTTTTAAAGCACTTGTCTCATTTTTTTTCGGTGTTTATGTATGTATACTTCATGACTTCGCTTTTTGATAGCTTTCCATTAATAAAAAAAATCCTTACGTCAATATTATGTCCCAATTTTTGAATGTTCGTGAGTTTAATCGTATATTGATGGGGGAAAAATCTATGGAGCTAAAATTTTTCAATTTATACCTAAAAAATATTATCTTACGTATTTTGTATGCACAAAAATTGATGACTTAGGTAGCTAAATAAAATAGTATCCTTGCTATTATACTGCATAAAATGGATTGTTGTTTTATTTTTTTTAAAAAAAATCTAACATTTTTAATTAACGAGCATGTTTTTAGTATTTTTTGATTTTTCAAGTATGTAAATAACAAACTGAACACACTTAGAATTGCCAAATGACAAAATTAATACGTTGGAGGTTATTCAATTGCAATATTGTTTGTGGTAAAAGAAAACATAAATATCTTACTAACACGGACTCAAGTTTGGATTTAGAAAATATTTCTAAAGTATTTTATTCTTTTTTTGTTAGGTGATTCTTAAGGTATGTGAATTTTGCCAAAAATTGACAATTTTTTTATGATTTTATTTTATAAGCCATCTTATAACCTTCATAAAAAAATACCAAGTTTATTATTTTCCGTTCACTAGAGCAAAAACTACAAGTGTTTTAGTAAAAGCAGATGCCATTACTTTGAGCAAATGTCGTACTTTAAACGCTTTTTACTATTAATGTGTTTTTTTTAAATGCTCAAACGGAGACAGTGATTGCTCAAAAAGTTTTGAAAATAATGAACTGAAATTTTTTGTGTATGTTTTGTATAATAGTAGAAGTGTTTTAACCTTCAGATTTATCAATCTTTGTTTTATTACAAAAGTTACAGTCCCTCATGTGAATATAATCACTGTTTTTTTTAAGCAACTTCATATAATAACTAAGATAATGAGCTCTAGTTTTTGTAAAAATTAAAATATCTCTTATTTTGAAGGTCATTTCAAAAATGAATAACACATCAGAATTGAAAAATTGAAAATTCGTTCATAAACTTTTGGTACTGAATGGACCCCGTTTATGTTATTTTTTGTAAATTTTTACCTATTTTTTCCCATTTTAGTAATAATGATTTCTTTTTCTCTTCTTAATTTTAGCATATTTTTCATAAAATGTTCTAAACAAATCTAAAAATCACAAAAACAAGATATCAATCATTGTCATGGCCAAGTAATTTTAGCGCGTTTTTCACATGTTGTATTTTACAATAATGCAACTAATGAACTTTTTACTAACAGAAAGTAGTGTGTGTTGTACTGTACTAAAAAAAAATTAAAAATGATTAAATTTAAATATGATTCGGCTCATCTAGGACACAAATGCGACCAAATGCCGAAAACCCGAGGTCAATTGATTGCTTATTGGCTGAGAAAAAGGTACGACAAAATATGGAACGAACGAAGACGAAATTTGCGTCCTAATAGCGCTTTTGTTCCACTGCGTGAAAAACGCGCTAAAAATCCCCGTATCTCCATTTTTTTCTTAAAAAAAAAAGTTGTCGCAAGTAGCCGGATACCTTAACTTATTTTATAACGTAGTTTGAATATCAATTTGTTACAAATTCTTTTAAAAGTAATACGACAGAAGTAACGTTCATAAAGTACTACTTTCCTTACAAATGCACAGTGAAAAAGAACGAAAGAAAACATCGTTAATGGATTGTTGAACATTAAGAACACTATAATCTATCTTCAGTAACAATCAGTCCTTTTTTATGCTTTTTAAACTATTTTTGAAGGTAATTTATGAAGCATCCAAATCATCGATGTTTCGCCAAAACTCATCGGGTTGTGTCTTCCCACTTACGTGTAACATTCCTAATTTTTTTGCGAGTGACATTGCCCGTGACAGTGGAAATGGAATTCTCGCTCGAACGTTAAGGTCATTAGACTTGCTCAGCTGACCCGTGGAGCATTGTAAGCGATGGGTGGAGTGTTTGCCCGCTCACAATCTAACCAAAGAGTACATAATATTAAAGGAGAGTAAACGGGGAAAAAGATCACCTAATCACAGTTGCTAATTCCTCTCATCCGCTTAGCTTTCTTTAAAAAAAATTTTTTTTTTCAGTGTGCTATACGAATTGCAGTTTTTTTCTCTCTCTCTTTCCTTTCCGTTTTTCTAGTAAAGTATTTTTTTAAAAATAAAAGCAAATTTGAAAGGAAGGATCCATTGGAAATTTCTCAACGCTGGACATTGCATTTTAAACAAGTAATATAAAACATTTTTTTTAAAAGTCAATTCCTACTTAGGTCAAAAAAGATTTTATTTTAGTTACTTTTTATTTTGTTGTTGCAATTAAGAAAAAAAAATGTATATACATATGACAAAATCACAATATTAAGTGACAAAATAGAAAGCGATTTTCCTTGCAATTTTCCATTTTCTTTTGTATATATGGTATTGGACTATTTTTTTTTGTTTGTTACTATTTATTCATCAACTAAATTTAATTATTCAAAAAAATAGTATAGTTAAAAAGAAATCACATTCTCGGAAGTAACGCCATTCCAGAGGGGATTCGAACCCACGACCTTTGAATTAGAAGTCCAACGCGCTCTTCATTGCGCTACAGGAACACAACGAAGGATTTTCCTTTCTGTATATGCTGTTGGACTATTATATTTTTATTTGTTACTATTTATTCATTTTTTAATATTAATAATGAATTTATATTAGAAAACTGTATTAACATCAAGTGTCATCCACTAAAAGTTTATATATATATATATAAGATAAGCTTCGACGCGGAGAAGAGCCCTAACACCGTTTCTTTCATTGACGCGTTCATTTTATCACAAGGTGAGATAGGATAACTTGAAATATCTCATTAAAAATGAAATGCCATGTGATGTCAGCGGAGCCATAGTTAATTTCGTTAGAGTCGATCTGCACTTTTTAAAAAATTATGAAACTGATAAAGAAAAATAACTATGCAGAATAATATCTTGGATTTAGTTTGTAATTTGAATGTTTTTCAGAGTAACATAAAATTACGAAATTCCTTATTTGATTTATTACTATATCACGCAAAACGATTACAATATCAAAGACAAATAACCAGTCGGACACCGGTGTTAACACCGGTCGGACTGACCACTCCATTTAAAAATAAACTTCAGAACATAATTTCAATTGTTACTAGATTTCATTAAAATAACAGATGTAACAATTGGTTTAGACATAAATGAGTTAAATATAGAATTATAATTATATTAGAGTTTTAGTTATAAATGTAACACAAATTAGTTTTCCAATTTATACAGCTTAGAAAGAGAAAGGGAAGTCAGAAGTCAAAAAGAGAAGTCCAATCAAAAGTTAAGGTTGTGTAAAATTTTATTAGTTTTGAATTTTTTTAAAATTATATGACGATTCATAATTTTGATCAACCTCGTGAAGAGCATAATAAGCAGTAGCCTAACGGAGAATGTTAGAGCCCCTCTGCTAAGTCAGGTTTGGGGCACCAAGCTGGATTTTTTTTACTTGACGTCAGTCAGGCTTTGTGTCCCCGCGAGGCGGGGGTGTACGTTACGCCACTGATAGTACGTGAGCTAGTTTTTACCTCTCTAGCTTCCGTATCACAACCGTGTGAGTACTTTGACGTTCCTATTATTATAGTAGAATAGCCCAAATATTGATTGGGACCGACAACTATGTAAAACCTGAGTTTTACCACACTTCTATTTTTTTAATAGAAATATGTCGCTGTATAATCTTGAAATATTCTACGATTTTCATGTCTTAATTATAATCAGTGGCATCATTCATTGAATACTAATTTTTTATAAAATTGAAAGATCTTTTAAAATACTCTTTACTTAATGAGAAAATCCATAATATTATTTAGAGAACAGAAGCATGCATCTCCTTTCTAACAAAAAAGTGCGCTTAAAACACACATAACTTGTGTAATAGTCGGTTTCAGTGTTTATATGTATTAATGTAAATTCTTTTGGAACAGTGGGAAGTGACAATCTAATTGGCTGTACAGTAATTAATATTGTTAAGTGTTAACCTTTCGTAATGCCAAAAAATTAAGAAATAACTCTGTCCTGACTATTACATTTGTTTTGAAGAGCTGTGCTTGTGCATATCTTGTACAATTTTCGTATGATTTTGATGAAGGGACACACTTCATTTTTTAAAACAAATGCAAGTATACTAAACTAAAAATAGCACTAATAATTCATATATTTTTTCCTAAAGAAAAAACTCACATTCAAATTGTGAATTTTCCCTTCTTTTGCTCATGATTTTTTGACATTATTATTGTTCGATTAGCAAATAATTTTATTAAATTCTACGAAAGTTTGCAAACTTCCCTCTAAAAACTAATAAACAAATTATACTTGCAGTTAGTCTACTGTTAACTGCGTTTGAATAAATAAAACCATTTGTGAGGCTTTGAAAGGTCTTCTTTGACTTAAAAAGACGGTGTTTATTTTTTTATCTGTCAAAGTGGGCGTGTGGCATGCCAGCTGATTATTTTTTTAAAAGTCATTTTGACATACTTCTAATTTATAAAATAGCAAATACTATGTTATATCACTGGAAAAGTCACGAATTGGAGATTTCAGAAATATGAAAATCTCAAAATCGATAATCTGAAGATTTTTAGCCTATTGAGTGCTCATAAACAAATAAAGTACTTGTAAAACTTAACAGTTCTTTTTTTTTCCAAAAAATTTGAAGTTTGAATTATATATATACAAGTAAATTATTTACTTGTATATATATATATATATAATTGTATATATATATTACTTATTTTTCATGCATATATGTATTACTTTTACTTCATTCACAATATAAGCGTATTGTTGTTTTACTTTTATGGCAAGTAAAAAATATTGGATTTATACGTGGTTGAGTTTAAAAACATGGAAGTTATGAAATCCAAAAATCGAGATTCACAGAATCTAATTAAATATTCTTTGAAACCATTCTATCGTACTTTTTAGCGCGTTTTTCACGTAGTGGAACAAAAGCGCTATTAGGACGCAAATTTCGTCTTCGCCTTCGTTCCAGATTTTGTCGTACCTTTTTCTCAGCCAATAAGCAACCAATTGACCTCAGGTTTTCGGCATTTGGTCGCATTTGTGCCCTAGATGAGCCGAATCATATTTAAATTTTCCCATAGTTTTCCCGAATTTTCCTACAAATTTTCCTGAATTTCGCTAGTTTATAACAAAATTTTCTCAAATTTTACTAGTAAATTTATTGTTTGCAAATTTTTTTTTTTGCTTTTTTATAGTGCTGATACAGATTTGTGTCATTATTTCTTTTCAGCTCAATAGTAGTACTCATTTAGAGGAGTGGTACAGTACTACTTTCTGTTAGTAAAAAGTTCATTAGTTGCATTATTGTAAAATACAACATGTGAAAAACGCGCTAAAATTACTTGGCCATGCCAATGATTGATATCTTGTTTCAAATGTCTGCGTTTTAAACTTTTTTTGAAACGTTTCGGTTAGTTAGCATGTTTGTGTGTCATTTTATCTCTAGGTGTGTGCTTTGTTTTTTTATTTACCTTCGCGTCACATATTACCTGCATCCGCTCACCTTATGTTCCTCGGCGCAACGACCGACACACATATGCTCGTGGGGAAGATAAAAGTGTTCGTTGTTTTTCTTTTGTTTTTGTCTCAGCCATGGATGTAGTGGAGGAAGTGGATATCGTACTTTATTTACAACACGTAGCGATTAGGATTTGATTCTTTCCGGTTCGATACATCTTGATTCATTTCGAGAATTAACAGCCACATCCGTGGGCCATTCCCGAGATTGGGTCGATTTTCATGATTTTCTTTTAAAAATGTGATTCTTTAATACTGTTCAAAGCTATTTGAACTTGAAAACAAAGTCGGTTACTAAATCGGAGGCAAAAGCTCAGTAAAGTTTTCGCATACAGAGAATCGTTATAAGTTAAGTGTTCACATTAATTTGCTACATTAGAAAAATGATTCTAAAATGTTTCATCATTTCAATACATAAATGAATTATTTAGCTTATGAGAAATTAGAATTAATACTTTTCGTAAATAATGTCTCATGATTTTTGTTTATTTTCTAACGATGTATTGTTTTCTTGTAAATTACTTTTGACTTTAAAAGAATATGGAGGATTAATTTTCAAGAGACTATGTAAGATGTCAGAATAAATAATTTCTTGTTTGGGGGAAAAGAAATGGATTTAATTGGTCTAATTATAAAATTTTAATCTACGGGGGATTTGATGACGAAGATACTCGGAACATATCTTCTCCAAACAAAAGTTTAACTATGCAAGTCTCAAAAATGGTTTTAACGTGTAAGAAATAACAAATTATATGTAAGGGGTGTAACAATGGGCTATCCACGAGATCTATCTTCTCTAACTCGTGTTTTCTTCCGTCCAAGCATATCGGCACTTTAAGCTTGAACAACTCCTCTCCGAACATGAACGCAAAACCAAATAGTATATAAATCATATGTTCTTAACGTGGGTGATAACGCCCCCTTGTGGACGTTTGAAGCTTTGAGGGGGCACTAAAGGACCCAGAGAAAATTAGGGGGCGTTGAGATGACATGGAGGGGCTTGGACAGATTAACCAAATATAGTCTAAAAGAGGCTAAAAAACACGCTGATTATGTACTAACAAAAGTAAACTTTAATACTGTTTACCTTATGTTGATTGTATGTATTTAAATAATTTTTTATGACATGTGCGAAAATTCACATATTTCGATAGTTCGGAAAGAGGATGAAAAATTTAAAGCTTACATTACATCCAGATCTACATTAAATTGATTGATATAGTGCATTTTAATTTCTGTAGTGCACGTGTTGTCTCTTTGTCTGTGAGCAGTAAGAAAAATATTTCGTCCACTGCATTTCATTACGTATATTATCCAAGAAACATAATTAAATATGTTGACCAGGAATTAAAGTGTGATTCTTTAAATGCTGAAACTATCAAATTACATTTATTTTGAAAGCAGTAGTTTTTTTAATTACTTTGTATCATCAAAACCCCTGCCTGTCTTTATAACAGGTAATCTAAAACTTTTATTCCATTCTTTCAAGGGAAGAAGAAATTCAGTAGCGTTTCAATACCAACACTATCCTATCTAGGACTAGAATATATAATGTTACACATTTAAATATATATGTGGCAATAGCTATTTCAGATTCGCAAGTAAAAAAATTGTGGCTTTACAAAAAAAATAAATTAAAAAATATATTTATTAGTAATAGAATATTTTTAAAATTTAACTCTTGTTTTCACCATGTATTATGTACACTCTTATTTCTGTACAGTGGGAGGGGGCGATATTAAAATATTCATAAGAAAAGGGGGTGCCAGTTCAAAAAAATGTTGGGAACCTATGATATAAATAGTAAATTATATAGAGAATAGGAGATGACTGATCAACATTGCCACTTCAATTAATGCCTGAATTATATAATCGCATACCTACTTTGAGAGTTAGCAAATCTAGGAGGATTTCTCCTTAGAAAGTTTCAGAGGTTATATCTTATTTCAGATTAGTAAACATTTATTCTTACCCTTTAGCTTGTCTTGAGTGCATATGGCGCA